ACGGGTATACAAGCTGTGCAAAACAGATACACAATGCACTGTGTGTTATACAAGCTATGCAAAGCAGATGTACAAAGCACTGTGTGTTGACATTTCAGGCATGGTTACAGAAAAACCTCTACAAAGGTTCCTTGTGGCGAGACAAGTAAAACAGACTGAGAAACACCGCTCACCACTGACAGGGGTGAAGATGTACAAGACACAAGACACACTACTCATGCCTGTGACTAATGGCACACACATAAATGAACACACGAGCACAGCCCACACGCAGACACACATACATACCCAGCCCACACCCGGATCTGCGCATGCAAGCACGTGCATGCACAAATACACTGGTAAGCATAGCTGGATATAAATACACATTCATATCACACACACGCACACACACACACACCTCCCTCACACATATGCAGATACACTCGTCTGCAGCCCACACAGGCATCAGGAGACTCCAACCGCACTGCAATAGTGAAGAGGAGACTGGGTTAGGATTTTTAATAAGCTCTTACACAAATAAATTTATAAAACCGGGCTACCAGGGTCTGTGGGCTGCTTCTTCTTATTGCATTCTGTCGGTGACGCTCCTGGCCTCTTGTCTGTCATGAACAGAGGAGTCATGCAGCTGTCTTCACATGTGGGCATTGTGCACACATGCAGGAGAGGGGTCTTCTGAGATGAGCGCATGCCCATGCTGTGAAGGGGGGAGGTCCCCTGTGCCGGCACACAGAGGCAGCATCTGGGAGGCATGCGTTGGCACTGGACGATGTCTGGGCTCTCAGAGGACTCAGCCATCACATCATCAAGTTCTGTTTACCTTTTCCAGAATGTAATAACCTCCAGGGATACATGCTGGATCCGTAGATGGACAGATGAATGAGTCTCAGAATCCCTCGATTTGGCCATGACCCGAGGAACTTGTGCTCACTTCGCAGATGAGAAAGTGAGGCAGTCTTGCACCTGCCCCGCACCCAGCACTTGGAAACTGAACCCAAGCTTTCTGGCTCCCAGGCTTTCTGTGAAACAGGTCCATGGGGGACGACTCAGGCTGATTTCCCTGTGACCTGCCCAGATCACCCCAGTCATGCATCACAGAGACCCTTATTGGAATCTAGCACCCATGAAAAGACTCTCTAGAGAAGTCCCCAATGCCTCCTCCCCACTGCTTTTCCCTGGTGCTCCTGAGCGCTTGACCCTCAACCTCTGCTTCCCAGGTCCCCGAGGGCCAGCTAGAGTCAGCAGCACAAAGCTGATCAACAATGCTCGCCCAGCACAGCACTCTGACTCAGCCCCTTGGGGGCTGGTGCAGACTGTGTGCCAAGGTTAATTAAACTAGTAATTAGAAGGAGAGATGCTTAATCGATCTGGTTAATAAAATAACCCCCTTGCGGGAGCATGTGGGTGCTGTCACTCTGCTGGGCATCATGGGATCAGCCAAGCATGATGCTCCCTCTGTGCCTGGCTCCTCCCCTCCCTGCTCTCCAAGTCCCAGAGCAAATTCCTGGGTCCTCCTCAGAGTGGGACCATGGAAGCAGCTTCAAGGGGCATCAGCTCTGTGTGCCAGGGCATCAACAAGGTAAGGAGTCCTTCAAACTGTCCCCCCAGGTGAGGGCAGGTGCTGAGGTCTTAGGGCCTTCCATGTCAGCCAGGAGCTTCATGGCCTGCTCTGTGCCTTCCCGCCACCCTCTTTGAAGACTACATCTGTTGGATCTAGCCCTCACATTCAAAATCATATCCTCGGTGAGTATCTTTTAAAAATTAATTTTTAATTTTACATACTTAACTGGAATACTTTGTTCCACGTTAGAGGAGAGAAAGAGCAGGAGGAAGAAGAGGCAGAGGAGGAGGGGGAGGAGGAGAGGGAGGAAGAGCAGGAGGAGAGGGGGAGGAGGAGGCAGAGGAAGAGCAGGAGGAGGAGGGAGAGGAGGAGGGGGAGGAGGAAGAGCAGGAGGAGGAGGGAGAGAAAGAGCAAGAGAAAGAGGAGGTAGAGGAGGAGGGGAGGAGGAAGGGGAAGAGGAAGACGGAGAGGAGGAGGGGGAGGAGGAGAGGAGGAAGAGCAGGAGGAGGGAGAGGAGGAGGGGGAGGAAGGAAAGGAAGAGCAGGAGAAGAAGGAGGGAGAGAAAGAGCAAGAGGAAGAAGAGGTAGAGGAGAAGGGAGAGGAGGAAGAGCAGGAGGAAGAGGAGGAGGAGGGAGAGGAGGGAGAGGAAGAGCAGGAGGAAGAAGAGGTAGAGGAGGAGGAGGGGAAGGAGGAGGGGGAGGAGGGAAAGGAGGAAGGAGAGGAAGAGCTGGAGGGAGAGAGGAGGAGGAGATCTGCCCAACCCCAGGCTTTCGGGGGGAGCCTCGGGTGTTGGCGTGTGGCCTTCTCCCCACATGCAGGTATGTATGATGTATGTGGACGTAGCTCTCCTTCCCAGACAGAAGCTGTCTTACTGTTGCCTCCCTTCCTCAGAGTGCTCCCTCCATCCCTCATCACTCAACGATGATGTGAAACACTCGATGTTTTTCTTCAATCAGATTTCACCAAGATGGAATTTTCCAGAAGAGGGGAAGAGCCTCCTTTGCCCTGAGGGCCTCGTGTTAGAAATAGTCTGATGCAAGGCGTCCCCTCCACTCAGTGCCTCCTCTCTGCTAGTGCTCCTTAAAGTGCTCAGTGGTGAGAGCGGGGCGAGGCCACAGCACCCCCCCCCCAGTGCTACTGTCAGACAGCACCAAAGTCCATGGCTGCCTGGTCACGTGTAAGGGCGTCACTGGGGATGCCTGCTTTCACCCTCACAGCCCCCTTGATGCAGCTCAGCTCAAACACAGAGTCCTCAGAACTCCAGATTCCCGTTCTCCCCTCAGAGACCAGTCCTGGAGGGGCAGACCCCAGTGACCTCCCCTCTGGGGCCTTCTGGGAGGGCAAAGGTGCTCAACTCACCTGGCATCTTGCCAGGCAAGAGGGAATCATCGAGATCCCTCCGCGACCCTGCTGATGGTACGGCGACGAGCCTAGGCAGGGACAGGGTTTCGCCCACCTTCTAATGGCTAGTTTAAGGGGTCAGAAGTCAGGAGAGCTGAGCAACCAGAGCAGGCCACACTGAGGCTGCAGGGTGGCAGCTGGGGTCTGGAGCGCTACCAGCCATCAGACTGTCAAGCCAGTTTCTAGTCTGAAAGGAATAGCACATTTACTCACAAAGGAAAAGATACGAAAGCAAGACAACGAAGACAGGAAGAGGCAGACAGGCTCGGCCCCGCCTGCGGCCGCCGCCACCTGTGGAACACATCTCCATCAGAGCCCTGTCCGCTCCCCTGACACACACCCACCTACCCTCTCTCCCATGACAACACCCACCCATCTGCTCATCACTCTCTTCGTTCACTCAAGTCCTGGCTGAGCAGCCTGGACGCGAGATATGAAATGCACCCAAATGGCAAACTTTTCATCCATTAACATGACCACACCACGAAAATTCCATGCCGCGAAACTTTGCTTCATGTGCAAAATTATTTAAAACACTGCATAAAATTACCTTCGGGCTCTGTGTATCAGGTGCATAGGCAAATATAAATGAATTCCATGTTTAGTCTTGGGTCTAACCCCAAGACGGCTCATTATATCTGTACAAATAATCCAAACTATGGGAAGACATTCCAAATTTTCTTCAGTTGTGGTCCCAAGCATTTCTGATAAGGGTTGCTCAGCCTGCATTCATCACCTGCCCCCGATGCCACGCCTGGTGCCGGCTGTCGAGTCTGTCTTCTTGGAGCAGAGTGCTCCGGTGGGGACAGAGGCAAGGGTGGCCGGTGAGCATAAGCTAATTCTCGATGGCAAGGTAAGAGAGAGGAGGCGGGAAGATGGCGGGAAGGGAACGTTTGAGAAGGCGCTGCTGCTTCGGCAGACACAGAGGCCTTGGGGAAAGACACCGGGGCTGGAGGGAACAGCACGTGGGAGGCTGGCGGCTCAGCTTGCGGGACCCAGCTCAGGCTGTTGCCAAAGCCAAGGCTGTGGTGGAGCTGGTGGGGGGGGGAGGGGATGGGGTGGAATCTGAGAGGTGTCAGAGGGCAGGACCCAGATCTCCAGAGTTCTGGAGAATGGGAGTCTGGGCTCAGGCCGGAGAGCCATGTGGGGACAGCAAAGGTATGCAGTCTGACCGACCCCCTAACACATCTGTCCAGCTGTTGCTTAGTGACGATGATAACTAGGGGCTTGCGACCCAGGGTCATCACCGCAAGTGCAAGAGGCCTGTGGCGGAACCTCACAGGAAGGAGCTTCAGGCTGCTGTGGAGCGAGGCTGAGTGAGGGAGTGAGGCGGTGGAGCTGGAGGTTGGAAACGGGGAAGGGATACGCCCCTGGGCCCTCGGAAGCCATGCTAACACTCCACTTTATTACTGGTGTCGTGGGTACCGTGGAAGGGGGCAGCAGATGGGGCATAGACAGATTGAATTTCATTCTAGAAAGAACCATCTGGTGGCTGCGGGAGGATGTGTAGCAGGTACCCAGAGTCCACCCTATGCCCCCAGGCTGGCTGCTCAGCTGCAGGTGCCTGGGGGGGGGGCGGCTGTGAGCACACAGGGAAGCAATATGGACAGGCTTCTGTGGACGCTCTGTCTCCTCCCATCCTCCACAGCCTTCACTTGCTGACTCATCCCCAGGGATTAGCAACCTTTGGAGATGCCCTGCTGCTTCTCACTCTCTCCACGGAGGTGTAGGTGTGCAGCCCGGCTCTCCCGGGGACTGTTCTCCAACTCAGGCCCTGCCCCTGCCCTGCCCTATGGTGCATTCAGAGAGTGTGTGCCCACAGGCCCGGATGCATGTGAGTACATGCCTAAGGGTGGCAGCAAAGGGGAGGGGGGAGGAGGCCCTGGAAGGGGCCTGCTGGAGGAGGGGCGAGTCTCGGAGCTACAGCAACCCGGTTGTCTCACAGCCTCGTCGGTTCCCAGCAGGAGAGCCATCGCCTCGCAGGCTGTTTTATCTGTGTTTATTTGTCTGTCTTCCTGTCTTGCTCGATCTGCTCATGTGTCTGTCTCTCAGCCGTCACATGCTCCTCGGCTGGAGCCAGCGGTTCAGAGACAAACTCAGCCTGCCTCCTTCTCCTGAGGCCAGGCACACACACGCGCGCGCGAGAACCCAGCGACAGCAGCTCCTGGGCCTCACAGCACTTCACAGTTTGCATTTCTCCAGCCCACGCACGTGTCTAATTATATCCCTGCCTGTTCCCGAGGGAGTTTAGTCGCCGGCCCTCCGTTTGTTCTTCACAGTGACATTGCGGGTTAGCCAGGCACAGACTTAGCTGGGGCAGCTGAGGAATCCAATGTCCGGAGGGGCGTTGTCAAGGTCATGGGGCTTGTGTGTGCGTGGATGTATTCTGTGTGCACAGATGTATGCATATGCATGGGTGTGTGCGCAGGGATGGGTCCACATATGTGTGCCACGTGGTTGTATGCATATACACACATGTACATTTATGAGCATGTATGCCTATGTGTGTGTCTTGTGTGTGCATGTGCTTTTGCCTGCACATGTGTAATCATGTGCATCTGTGCATGTATGTGCACCTGTGAAGATGTCTTTGCATAAACCCATGAATATGTGTGCATGCTCATATAGGATGTATAAAACTGGGTGCATGCATGTATGAGCATGCATTTGTACATGTCCACAGTGTATGTAAGTGTGTGAACACACATATATGTGCATGCACTCATGTGTACACATGTGTGTCTATGTGTGTATTCCTTTGTGAGTACGTATGTATGCATTTCTCAATGTGTGTGCATTGAAGTATGAAGTGTATGCCTGTGTGGACATGAATCCCTATGCAAGCATGTGCATATGCATGTTTGCATATTTGTGTGTGCCTGCGTGTGAGCTTGTCATGAGCATTTGTATGTTTTCATTGGGCACATGTATATTTGTGTCAGTGAATGAGCATTTGTGTAGGTGAACGTGTGCGCTTATATGTACATGTTCGTGGATGCCTTATGTATGTGGATTGTACATACATATACATGTATATTGGACACCTGTGTATCTGTATGTATGTGGGCATATTTGAATGTGTATGTGCCTATGTATGCACATTCATATGTATTCATTGTTCACATGCATATGTGTTCATGCATGCATGCTTGCTCATATGCACCTGTATGCTTTTGGATGATGGTGCATGTGTGGTCACACATGGGGGCATATGTGTGTAAACACATCCATGTGTGCACATATGTGTCCGTAAATGGCTATGTGCATGCATTTATCTGCATCTGTATGCATGCATGTATGTGTCTCCTCACATGACTTTATGTGTGCCTGCACACATGTGCTTGTGTGTATCCATGTGTGCACATGTGCTTGTATGTGCTTGCGTGCACGTGTATGCATGCATTTGTGTGCATATGCTTGTGTCAGGGCTAAGTGGTGAGGGCCAAGTGACTACTGGCTGTGTGCCTCACCCGACAGCCTGTCTTGAGGACCTGGGGTCTGGAAGGGCTGGATAGGGGTTGTGGCATGGAAGAGAAGGGGCTGCCCAGCTGCCAGCAGGTGACAGGCTGACTTGAAGCCAGAGCTGCAACAAAGGAGGGGAACAAGGGGGACAACGAGGCTTGGCAACCGCTCTCCCAGCTGCTCTGGGCTTGAAGCAGGGCCACTTTGCTGGCTCCGGCACAGCACGAACAGGTGGCAGCAAGATTGGCACAGCCAGGGAAAGCTGTCTTGTGGAGGCCAGGACACAGCAGAACAGTGGAGAGGGGAGGCAGCACCGAGGGGGTGCAAGGAGGAACCCCCACATTGATACCTGCCGCCTACCTCTGTCCCTCCAAGCCAAGGTACTCAAGAACCTTCAGAGACGGTGAGCTGCCCTGGTCCCCTCAGCAGTAGGAGCCCACAGGACGACTGCCTCTCCTCTTTTCCCTGATGTCTACAGCTTTCAGCTCCCTAGCACCGTGGGGCTTCTGGACACTGAGAAAATTAGGCACTGAGGGCTCCCTGGAGGGTTCTGAGCCCAGCATCAGTAGCCATGGGGACTGAGTGCCCCCAACTCATGCTAAGGGGACAGATGACTCAGCCTGTATTACAGTTATGTGAACGCCATCAGAGCCCCCTGAGTTCTGTTCTGGTGAGATGGGGGGTGGGGCATCCAGAGACCAGGCAGGGGTGGCTGCTGCTGGCCAAGGGCTGTGCTGGAGGTAGGGAAAACACATGGCGAGAAGCAGCTAGATCTGGAGGCTTCTAAGGGATGACCCTCAAATACCTGCTCTGGCGGTGGCTTCACGGGGAGAAGAGGGGTGAGGACAATTAAAGTGGGGTTCAGATTTGAGCTAAGGGGTGCGTGTCCCCTGGACTATGGAGGATTGGTGTTCTTCTGAAGGAAGGGCGGGACGCCAGACCTCCCCTCTCTTCTCCACAGCACACTCTTTAAGGGCTTCTCACCCTGCCTCCTCCTAGGCCAGCAGAGCTGGGGCAGCACATCAGCTCCCCGGCGCCCTGGAGACCCGGGGCATACACTTACCCTGTGCACACTCCCTGACTGCTCTCCCGGGCATCCTGAGGAAGTTGTGTCCCTTCTTTAAGATGGACGGCACTTTACAACCTCCATATGCTCGGCTTTCTTTTTATTATTTTAATTTCTAAATACTTGGGAAGCTTTCCAGCCCTGGCTTCTGCTGTGATTCTGGTGCCAGCAAACACACTTGCTCCCCCACCCCACCCCTGCCTCATCTTAGCCATAAGGACTTCTCCCAACGCAGGGCTGAGGGAGGCTGGGATTCAGGGAGAGAGATCCAGCCAGCAGTTCCTGCTCCTAAGTCTGAGCACAGTCCTCGGGAGGCCTGCGGCAGCAGAGGGCTAGCCTGACCTGCCGTGGGGCCCAGGCACCAGACAGGAACTGCAGGCTTCCTCACCCAGCCCAGTCCACAATGACCTGTTACACTGCCTTTCTCTGCTTATAGCTGCACTTTGGAGTGCTTTCCCTGCCCCTAACCTCTGTGGCATTCAGTCTCTCCCATCCCGGTGTCATCTCTTCTGTGGAGTCGTCTCTGGATCCCTGAGTGTCTTCTGTCACTGGCAGAGTCTCACAGTTGCTCTGCCGACATATCCAGACTACGGCATCTCTGCTTGCACAGTGCCGAGCAATGGAAATAGTGCCTGGCACATAGCTGGCCAGTAAGTACTTGCTGAATGAATGGACTTCTGCACTTCCTGTTTATCTCCTGAGACCCCTTCCTGGAGAAGGGGCATGAGGTGTTCTGAGTAAGGCAAGGTTAAGGGCATAGAAGAACAAGAGGCCATTTATTATTAACCGGTCACATGGGCCAAGACAATGCTGTGACCTCATTCAACATGTTATTCTCATTTCAGATTAGAGCTGACCAGAGCTCAAAAGAACAAAAGGGAGGGAGGGAGGGGGCTGAAGAGCTGCCTTGTAGATTAAGAGCTGAGTGGCTTAAACCACCTGTAACCTCAGCTCCAGGAGAGCTGACACCCTCATCTAGCCTCTTGGTAGACATGAGGCTGACACACACACATACACACACACACACACACACACACACACACACACACACACACACACACACACAGAGAGAGAGAGAGAGAGAGAGAGAGAGAGAGTCTTAATTTTTCTTAAAAAAGGAACAAAAGAAACCTCCAGAATCAGACAGTTTACAAACAGCAGAGCCCCATTTGAATTCTGGCTCTCCTACCCAGGCGATTCCCTACCCTTTTCCTACCAGGCTGTAGACGGACCACAGAAAGATGGCCAATTTTCAAAGAACTGAAACACTAAAGTACACTTGTCACCACACTGTTGACCCTTTGATGGCTCAGAAAGTGAGTTCAGAGCCAGCTGGTGCACCTCCAGGGAGTCCTGACCTCCTGGCATGGGGTAGTCCTGTGCAGCATGGGGTGCCATGAAGCCGTGGGATCCCGCACCACTGCACAGAGGCCGCTTTAAAGGGGGGCAGGTACCTTGATGTGGGGCTCCCCACTGTGTACGGCCTCCAATAGGGAGTCTCCAAAACCAGCCTCCGCCAGGAGGGGCTGGCAGCACCGCTGACTCTTTGGAGCTGGGCTTCTGTTCTTTGTCTCTGCAGTGGTCTCCTTGCTTTAGGCTCAGTGCTGGCCACTTTGCTGACCATTCCTGCTTCCTGCTTCTCCAAACTGCTAACCACCACGGGCGCACGAGCAACCCCTGAGTTGCTCCAGCTTCCCCCAGCTTCTGGACTCTGCTATAGTTTCAGCTCTATCAGGACAGGGGTTTGCGTGCCTGGTTTTGCTAACTCAGGACTCAGCCCAGTGGCTGGCAACAGCGTCATGTCCCTGCAATGAGCATTTCTTAAACTCGCATCCTTAAAGTCATGTCATCACAGTCACGGTCCTTATCCACACCCCACTTGTGTTGCTTAAGTATTTCTCTTCCCATCAGCCACCTTTAAAACACTTAAAGAAATAAAATGTAAAAAGAAGCTTTTTTATCACTGCCGTAAGTGGAAAGCCAATATCACGAGCCATAAATAGAAGACAACTGTTAAAACAAATGCCACAAAACAAAGCGACGCGAAGAAATCCGAGGAAACGCCGGGCGCTGCAGAACGTGCCTGGGCTGGGCTGAGGCCGATCTCTTTTTGCCAACTGGGCAAGTGTTACAAGGCTTGAAAGAAATGTTAGCCCAGACCAAGAGTCCTCAGGCAGCCGAAAGCATCCGAATCCAGTAGACATGGCCTTGCCAAAGGCCACACGATTGCATTCTGGGTACCTCCTAAACTGGTCCCGACATCCATGGCCCTCATCCTGCACATCAGGGGACATAGATCCTGGAAAACTCAGGAGAACTCCAAGAGACACATGTGAGAGCTCTATGGAACTCGTGAGTCTTGAATGGACATGGGGCTGACTGAACTACAAAGAGCCACCGCTCCCCTGGTCCAGAGAAATAACCGCCGAGCCCATCTGCCCCTCAGCTCCGGTGCTCCTCCCGACGTTTGCCTGGCAGCAGATCAGACCTTCTGTCTCCCACGGCCTTCAGAAGAACTCTGTCCTCCTGATTCCTGACTCCCCCTTTTGATCTCATGCCACATTTGTGGGATCCTGGGTGTCCATTGCTAGGCAACAGAATCACACACTCAAGTCTCAAAGGGATCTAGGGCCGAGAGGAAGTGTGCTAAGAGGGGCCACTGCCCACTCAAGGCTGAGCGGAGTCTGCTGCTGGAATCCAGAGGAGAACTTGGGTCCCCGCCTTCTCCAACAGAGTACGGGGGCCACGCCCCACGCCCCCTCCTGTGCAGGATGCTTAGCCTGTGCACTTCAGTCTTCTTCAGGACCCTTCTGCAGTTGAAAGAACTGAGGTTCTGACGCCCGGTTCACCAGATGCTCAGTGAACTTATGCCCAGCCCCGACTCTACCAGGCGCACCACAGATCTGATATAACCCAGTCACTCTCCACTGATGCCTTGAGTTCAGGCAGCACTTTCTCAACAGCTGCCAGTGTGTAGTCTCTACAGGAGACTGTGGCCTCTGAGGGGGACTCCATTTTGCTGTGCCTGCGAGGTAGGTGTCCACCTCAAGACTGGTGGCTCCTAGCTGGCTCCCTTCCCCTGTCTTGCCACTTTGAGCCAAGACAAAGTCCGTGTCTGCTCATCAAGACAGCATGGACCTGCCTGAGCATCATTTAATTACATTATTTCCTTGCAAGCCTGTCCAGGAAGTGCCGGGGGCCTGGTAGGGAACAGCCTGGACCTGGCAGGGTTCACAAGGTAACTGACCATGGGAGGCCCCAGCCACCCTTGGGGCCCAGTGCGGGGCATGTAGGGGACTTCCTGTTGCTGTGCGTGAGGCTGCTGTCACTGCCCGCTGCTCCAAATGGCTCCACAGTCATAAAGCAGCTGAGGAAAAATGACAGCAGGGAAGGGAAACGAGCCACAAAGGAAATTAGCTCTCACTCGGGGAGACCTCGGCTTTCTGCTGACAGAGGACTCTACCCTATGAAGCCAAGAGCTTAAACTCCACTCTTACAGTAATTACCATGCCGGAGGCACCTCTGCCCTTGGCCCAGACCCAGATGGCCCCTTCCAGGGCACTGAGAGAGACCCACAGCCTAGAGCTGGAGTCCAGGGAACAAGGAATGGGAGGGAGGTTTGGTGCCAGAGCCAGGGTCCCCTTCATAGAGAAGACTATCTAACGGATGCTAGAGCTCAGTGTGGACTTGGGGACCAGGTGCTCCAACCTTCTCATTTGACAGGTGAGGAGCCTGGAGACTCAGAGAGGGTTAGTGACTAAGTGAGGGCCACCCAGCCAAAGACCAGATCAGATTGAAAGTAGCCCCTACTCCTGTGAGCCAGAGCCGTTTCTGTCAAGTCCTGCACCCGCCCGATATGCGTATTTCCCGTAGACCTGGTCCATGCTAGGCCCAGTGAAAACACAAAAGGCAGCGTGCCGGCCTCAGTTAGAGCATGCACCCAGGACCCGCCATTGTGTGGTTTCCCTTTACCTGGTGATGCCATCCCCACAGCAAAGCTCTGTGCAGTGTGGCTCTCCCGCAGCAGCCATTCTTAGGGAGCCAGTCTGGGAGATTTTGGAGATGCCCCTACAGAAGGATAACGAGCTCTGCACATCTGTCAGGGGTAGGCACCCCTTCTGGGGGGATTGGGTCTCTGCCATCCTACCCTGAATCCAGACTCCCAGCTAGCCCAAGGCAAGCCAGGCCTCCACCCTCCTCCCCGAACTGCAGTGAGATATCCACCTCGCCTGAACGGATAGCACCGACCACGCCCATTTGGGCGTGGCAACAGGTGCAGACATGAAGGAAAGTGGGTTTAGGTCTGGGGTCTGGGCAGGTGACTCTCTCTCTCTTGCTTCAGGTCAGGTCACAGGGAGCAGCCTGTGAGGATCCTTAGAGCGGGACCCTGCGGCGGCCGTCTGCTTCTTGTGTAAGTGACCTCTCCCTGAATAAAACTACATTTAACCTATACTGAGCCTAGCCCCGTGAGTCTTGACCCGTGCGTCCACACCCAACCAAGCGTTTGTCTCCACACAGCTGGGGACTGCAGACCCCCACCTCACATACATCTTTCCAAGTAGGGACATGTCCCTCTGTGGACCCCCCCCTTCTCCTTGCTAGTCCTTGAGCTTCCAAAGACGCTGGGGGAGGGGCGCACACACCTCAGGCTTGGCTAGTGGTGATCTTATCACCCCGGTTACCAGGGCAGTTCAAGACTGTGTGGGGAGCTCACAGCCTAATGGAAGAGAAATCTGGGACTGCAGGGAGAGGGCCTGTTCTTCCCGCTGGAGTTGCTGGCCAGAGGTGCAAGGCCAATGCTGCTCGCCTTTGGGATGATAGCAAGGCAGAGGAGGCCGGGCCTGAGGCGGGCACATGCAGCTTCCTGACGGCTGCTGAGCACCTGGATCCAGCCAAACCTGAAGTCAGGAAATGGAGATGGTTGTTCCGCAATTGCTTCTCCCCGCCTGATACACGGTACTTTCTGTCACTAGTAACCTCACTCACCGCCACTGCCTCTCTTCATGTCTTCCTAATGAGGGCCCCTGAGCCTGCCTGGGTCTGAGTTTAGTCTATCTACAAAGCAAAGAGCTAAGTCTTTTTTGCTGGGTTTGAAGATTCTGTCGCCTGTCACCCTGGTGACAACTACATTGAACCGACCTCTGAAGGTCTGTATTATGGCTCCCTACCCCACCAGGCCCTGGCTCCCAAGATTGATGTCGACCTAGCCAGGCCTCTGGTTTTATGTCCACAGTCATTTGCATGAATATTCTTGTATTAGAAGGCCCCGGGAGTGCTGGGATGAACAGGATAGGAGTGTGTAAACACTACTTTCTGCTTTCTCGGTTCCCGCACACATCCCTGCCTCCCCACCCGATCTCCTTGCAGGGTGGATGGACATAGACACCTACCTAAGGCTTGGTCACACACAGCGTGCCATCTCTGACACTGGGCCAGGGTAAGCATGTTATCCTGAAAGCCAAGGCCCTCATTTCATCTAGAGTTGTTGAGCCTGCAGGATATAAATCTGGAGTTGCCAAGGACCACCATGGAGAGATGGCTGCCAAAGTTTCCTTGCTCGTTCTCTTACAAACATCTTTATTCATGTGAATGTGTGTGTCTGCTTATCTGTATATGCACAACATGTGTGTGTGTGTGTCCAAGGAGGCCAGAAGGGACATCAGATCCCCTGGAGCTAGAGTTACAGGTGATTGTGAGCTACGGGTGTGACTGCTGGGAGCTGAACCCCAGCCCCGGAGCCGCCCCAGCCCCCTGGGCCGCCCCTCTAGTTCCCATTGTTCCTCGAATCAGTCGAAGTTCAGCTTCCTATTTCTTTTATTTTTATTTTTGGATATATACGTACATGTGTGGGATCCACATGTGTGTTAGGGTGTAGGCGTGCATGTGGAGGCCAGAGGTCCTCCTTGGCTGTCTGTATTCCTCAGGGATCTCTAGAGGGACAGAACTGACAGAAGGCATGCATATATATGAACAAACATATACGAATGTACATATATACATGCACATATGCATATATGCATAAACATACATACACACATGTGCATATAACATATACATATATACGTAATATATAAACTAAAAGGTGATTTATTAGGTTGGTTTATAGGACATGGCCCAGTGACTGTCTCAGTCAGAGCAGAGAAGAATCCGGTAGTTTCTCGGTCCACAAGGCAGGACGTCTCGGCAGGCCTAGTACCACACTGAAGGCCTGGGAGATTCCAGGACAGCCTCAGCCTTTCAGTCTTCTGGAATCACAAAAAAAGCAGTTCTAATACAGCAAAGGAGTGCAGCAGCAGAGTCTGTGTGTGTGTGGGGGGGCTTGGCAGCAAGGGCACCAGCAAGCTGTCGGAAAGCAAGCTTCCTTCTCCAGAGCCCTTTAAACCAGCTGTCACAGAGGGTGGCACCACACTCAGAACGGGTCTCCCTGCTTCAGAGAGCCTGATCAAGAGAACCCCCCACAGGAGTGCCCAGAGGTTGGCATTCCAGGCAAAGGCGGGGCAAGATTAGGCATCACAGGGGCCATCATTTGTTATTGGAAACAGTCTCTCACTGGCCGGGCCTCAGTGACGAGGCTCTCGCGGCCACCGCCATTTCTGCCTCCTTGGCAGTGGCTGGCACACTGAAGCCACTGTGCCTGGCCACTTTCACCTGAGTCCTGGGGATCAAGCATAGGGCCTGGTTCTTGCATAGCGAGCACTGTTGATTGACTGCTGTCTCCAACAGCAAACTGGCCTTCCGACTGCTGTGGACCAGGAAGTACTGACTGATACGGAAATTGTCACAGGAAATAGTGATGATACACTCTGGGTTCGGGGACGCATGCCTTCAGTCTCAGCACCCAGGAGGCAGAGGCAGGCACAGCTCTGTGAGTTCAAGACCAGCCTGGTCTACATAGCAAGTTCCAGACAGCCAGGTCTATGCAGTAAGACCTCTAATAAAAAAGGGGGACAGAGAGAGGGAGGGAAGGAAAGAGAGAATGATAGCAGGTGTGGCATATGCCTATACGCCCAGCCAGCACTCGGAGGTAGAAAGATAGAAACAGCAGGATCAAGAATTCCTTCTGGGCTACACAGAAAGACCTTGTCTCAAAAAATAAACAAAAGAAAACAAAAAATAGAAACTAATTATGTTTAATAAGATGCTCAAGTCATAAATGAATGTTTCAGTAAAAAACATAACAAAAGCACAACCAAGAGAGACTGGCCTCCTTATATGAGCAGACTAATATGTGGGGTAAACAGATGGGGCTTTTATTTTGCTCCTTTGGTATACTCTGTAACTCTAAGCTGCCCTATTAGGCTTTGCTCAGCTTGGTGCAATGACTCAGATTTTTTTCTCCCTCACATGTGTAAAAAACCAACAAAAAACAGAAGGCACCTTCAGCAGTCAGAACCAAGAGGATGGATGAGTATTCCACCTCCATGCAGAGGACCACTGAACAGGGCATCTAGGCAGAGCAGGGGCCCTGACTCAGAGGCCTCCTACCCTCCTGTTCTGCTCCCAGTTCCTTGCTGAGTCCCACACAGCTCCAGGTACTTCATGCCATAGCCTCCAGTGTGGCACCCTTACCCAGAAAGGTATCCCTGCTGGCTCTGAGCTGCTGAGCATGGCTGGCAGGGCATCCAGCTAGCGGCATGTCACTCAGGGAAAGAACCAAGGCCAAAGTCAACACACTGACTGTAGAGCTCTGTTTATCTCTGTTTCCCATTTGTGTAGAAGGGAAACAAGACACAGACTGCTTTGAAATTCCTCCAAAGGAAGTTGCTGACATCTCTGCCTGCCTGCCTGCCTGCCTGTCTGTCTGTCTGTCTCTATTTGTCAGGCGGGCTGTCATTTCCCTGCCCACAAGCTCTCAACAGCTACTGTTCTGGGTTGATCTCTGTTGCTGTGATAAAGTGCTCTGACCAAAAGCAACTTGGAGAGGAAAGAATTTATTTGTCTTACACTTTCAGGTCACAGTTCATCACTGCGGGAAATTGGGGTGGAAACTCAAGAGAGGAACCTGGAGGCTGGATCCATGAAGGATGCTGTTTGTTGACTCTCACTGGCTCATACTCAGCTACCTTTCTTACACAGCCAAGACCCACTTGCCTAGGGGATGGTGCTACCCATAGTGGGCTGGACCCTCCTGCATTAAGAAAATGCCCCAGAGACCAGGCTAGTTGAAACAATTCTTCAACTGAGATTTCCTCTCCCCAGGTGACTTTGGGCTGTGCCATGTTGGCAATAAAAACTAACAAGGACAGCAAACCTCTTCCAAAAACAATGAAACCACAGTCCAAATATCTTGGGGGCTCTCTGCTGCCTGCTTTCTTCTCCAGCTCCAACCACTCTTGCTGGTTGATGCTTCCTGGGGTCATCTGAAGCCTGTCCTCATGTGTACTGTCCTAAGATCCTTGGGGCCGTGTGGGGGCACGTTCATAACTTGTAGCTGTGCAGCCCCTTTGCTCCCCAAATCTACCTGGAGGCTAAGCTCATTGTCACCCCTTCTAGGGGTGAGCAAAGAAGTTGTCAAGAGGCCAGGGAACTCACTCAAGGCCATTGTGGAGTGGAAACGTCCCCACATCCTATAGAGGTCAGATGGCAGCATCGGGAACATCTTAAAACGACCCCACCCTGTGACAGACAGGAAGGCGTGGAGCTAAGATCTTGAGGGAGCCACTGAAAGGCCTTCGCATAGAGGAGTCGCAGGCGTGTGGAGACACCATGAAGACACCACACAGGATGCCACTGCCATCCTGCTTGGGAAGGGAAGGAGAAGGAGCAGTGTGACAGAGCTGGAAGAACAGAGCAGTGACAGCCACTTGGCAGGTGCTGGTGTGAGAACCGCCACCCAGACAAGGAGAATCGGGGAGGAGATTCCCGGCCCGCCCCACCCCTCCCAAGGATGGCAGCCTCAGGCTCATTCTAAACATAAGCCAGGGACCAGGGAGCCTGGGTGTTCAGAGAGGTCGGGCTCCTCACCTGGGGCTCAGAGCAAGAAAGAAAAGAAGCCAGGGAGCGGGCAGCAAGAATGACGCTGGATTCGCTTCTGGTTGTTGCTGTAGCTTAAGGATTACAACACCCACTTAACGTAGTACTCCATAGTTAGCTGTGGCTTCAGATACTCACAGGAGCTGCGAGCCAGATACTTACGGGAAGTTCCAGGCCCAGCGCGTTTGCAAGCTTCAAATGGCGTGCTGCTCTGAGCAGTGGTGAAGGCCTGCACCGTCTCTTTCGCCTCGGCCAGCGAGTCCACAGTGTGTGTGTGTGTGTGTGTGTGTGTGTGTGTGTGTGCGCGCGCGCGCGCGCGTGCGCGCGCACTGCCTGCCTGGTGGGCACCCAGCACTTACCTAGGTTATTCCTGCCACTGTCACCAGTCATTGTACCTGTGTTCAAGTAACTGTATTTTCAGTCACAACAACTTTAAAATATCAGAAGAGCAATGTCACCCGGGCATAAAGTCTGGAGGACCAGGATGAGCAGGGCACTGCGCTGAGAGGCTTCACAGAAAGTAGGAAAGCATTAAATATAGGGCTTGGTCTACTATCTGCAGTTTCAGGCATCTGGGGCAGAAAGGTCTTGGGTAGGAAGACTGTGCCACCTGTTTGGAAGCCATTAGTATGAACCAAGTGTCCCCCACTAAGGGCAAGGTACAGGTAGGGCTGTGTCAGTTGAATCCTGTGGGTCTCAGATGGACCACTGCAATACCTCATCTTACTGTGGATTGTCTGCGTGGCCTGACCTCATCGGGCCCTCATCTTCCCCAGACACTGGGCCAGGAGGGCGGACCCATCCCGGAGAAGGCCAAGTGGGCAAGAAAACACGCAGTCCCTCATGAGGTCGGCCTCAGAGTTATCACTTCCAGGTGTCTACCGCTGGCCAAAGCAGCTCCTGTGGGCCAGGCGGAAGCCAAGGGCTGTGTCAGGCCAGAGCCAGGGTGACGGCAGGCAGAGCGAAGTGGGGTGTGATCCCGGGTAGCAGAGCGAAGTGGGGTGTGATCCCGGGTCCAGGGGCCACAGCTTCATCACACCCGCTTTCCCTCCTGTCCTAGACTTGTTCTTTCCTGAGTTCTAGCGATGCGTGAGAGAGTGAGCTCCCAGGAGGAAGGATGGACTAGTGTGTTTTGCAGCAGCAGGGACAGCTCCATGCTCGGCTCTTGCCCTGGGCATTGCAGCTGGCGGAGCACCACTCTCTGCACGGTGTGTGGGTGAACAGCCTTCAGCGCCAGCAGGAGAGTGTGTAAGGGGCTGGACTCCCTTCTGGGGGCCCAGGGAAGGCTGTGGGGTGCCCCGGCACCAGGCAGGTACCAGGCCACGCCCCTCTTCCACACACTCCCTCTTTCAGCCGACCCTTCCGTCCTGGCCCGGCCCACAGGTGGCTTTTGCAGAGCTCAGGCTGAGCTGAGACTTGCCTGCTGTCTTGATGCTTACAGTCTCCCAGAGGTGCAGCCTAGCCGCAAGGGCGGAGTGGGGACTTCGTAGGTCTATAGTGGATGCTATTCCACGGTGGAGACAGCTCGGAAGCTGGGGCCTGACGACCAAGATGGGCAAACAGGTGGGCATAGCCTCCGGGAGTCGGCCAGGATGCTGGGGGACACTCTTGTCCCTGTGTGCGCCAACCGTCCTGGAGACTAAGGTGGTTTAGTCTTCTGGAGAAGAGTGAGCACTGGGAATGGATACACAGGTAACAAGATGGGGCAGTGGATGGGGGCACAGATGGCTGATGGGGAGGATCCTTGTGACCAAGGCCTCTCTTCCTGGCCACGGAGGAATTAGATTTATCCGTGAGCTAGGATTAGCAATTTTTTTTCCTACAAAGGACAAGGCAGTGAAATTCTCAGGCTTTGCATATGTCATCTTCTCAGTGCTGCCCTTATGGGTGAAAATCCTCCGCTCAGTGCATCAGTAAGTGAGCATGGCTATGTCCCAATAAAACTTTATTATAATTGGGGCCCCCCAGCCACATTTGAGCCATGGGCTATCTGTGATTTGTTAATCCCTGCTGCCAAGGGATCAAGGTAACAGCCTTCAGGCTAATTCTGTCCCTCCAGCTTGGGTTTTGTTTGTGTATGACGGAGCTTTTAGGTAGCCAGGTTCCTTAAAGGCTCACGGTGGCAGCCAGCTCATCCCTGGCCTCTGTCTGTCCTTGGCTGTCTGATTTCCTGAGTTGTCATTTACTCCTGGAGTGCTGGTATTTGTTTGGGGTTTCTTCCCCAGTTTTATTACTATCCCAGGGCTGCCTGGCAACACAGTACTGCAAGCTGGATTTATTCGTCACTAGGCTGTTGTGAAGGTTACAAGGCCAAGGTCAAACGTCAGCAGGGCTGGCTCCCTCTGAGGGTTGGGAGGTGGGGGCACCGGACAGGAAGAAACTAAGGGGGGATGGTACACTTAGAGGTGGGGGCACCGAACAGGAAGAAACTAAAGGGGGATGGTACACTTAGAGGTGGGGGCACCGAACAGGAAGAAACTAAGGGGGATGGTACACTTAGAGGTGGGGGCACCGGACAGGAAGAAACTAAGGGGGGATGGTACACTTAGAGGTGGGGGCACCGAACAGGAAGTCATGGTTCTGGCAGCCTGGCAGCCAGTTCAGGACTAAGGGGAGAGGAGACCAGAGACCTTAAGCACAGGATAGGAGTTGGTGGCACTCTAGAAAGCCAAGTACCCTGCCCTAGCCCAAAGGATACCCTGAGTACATGACATTAATTATCAGATGGTCCAGAGGGAGAAGGTTCCACTTTCTTCCTCTTCACATGCCTGAGAAAGGTGGGCATCAGGGATTAGTCACTGACCTTTCCTTTCACAGGGCTGTCCTGGCTCAAAGAGCCCTGTCTCCGAGCCCTGCCTCTGAGTCCCCGACATTGGCCACCTGGAGCAAAAACAGACAGCGTATGAGAACCCCCATTTAGCAGGAGAAGGGCAATCAGGACAAGGCTGGCAAGAAAATTTCAGGTAATTGATGCTATTTTCCCATTGACTATGTTCTGCTAGAAAAGATTTTGGTTACAAGGTGTAATCAAATCACACTTAAGAATTCCACTAAAAGATTACTTTTATAATGAGAAAAAAAATGTACTTTCTAAAAGGGATCTGCAGCATAAGCTCAGAGGTCAACTTGGCAATGCCTTTAGCAATGTGACAGGCACATGCTCTCCGAGAAAGCAGTTTCATTGGGGGCATTCCGCCCCACAGGTGTGTGGGAGAAGGTTCCCTCTGAAGCCTTGCCTGTGACTGTAAAATATTGGAAACAACCCCAGCATCTTCAATCCTGGGAGAAATACACAGATCAGTGGGACGTGCCCGAGCTGTGATACAGTGCAACCCTAAAAAGGACCGTGGGGGCAGATGTCTTCGAGAAAGGTGTTCTAGAAACGTTGAGAAGGCTAGAGGAAGGGTACAGGGCACAGCAGGCACCATGTACACAGACACCCCAGGAGGGGGGCAGCCAGGGGCACATGCGACTTCTCCCTCATGGCCATAGCAAGCCCACACACTTAGAATAGCTTAGAAGAGCAGACATTTATTCATTCTCGGTCCTGGGAGCCAGAAGCCTGAAAAGCTATCAGTGGGGCTGCATGCCCTCAGGAACCTCCAAGGCAAGGTGACGGTTGGTTCTGTGTGCCAACTTGACTGGGCCACAGGGTACCCAGGTTGGTCACATAATGACTGGGCTTTTCAGTGTGCACGTTTTGGGGACAAGGTCCGCATTTGAATTGGGGGCTGACTCAAGGGACTGGTACTCCTTGAAGTGGGTGCTCCTTGAAGTGGGTGGTCCTTAAAGTGGGTGGTCCTTAAAGTGGGTGGTCCTTAAAGTGGGTGAGCCTTCAAGTGGGTGGTCCTTAAAGTGGGTGGTCCTTGAAGAGGGTGCTCCTTAAAGTGGGTGGGCCTTCAAGTGGGAGGGCCTTAAAGGCTTGAGGAGAGCAAAGAAGCTGACTCTCTGTCCAGTCCCGAGCTAAGAGGCAGGGGTGCTCCTGCATGACGCTTCTCACTGAGACAGTGGCTGAAGGAGACCGTGCCAGCTTCGGGTGCCTGCCGGCATTGCTTGACTTGAGGCTGCACCACTCCAGTCTCTGTTGTGTGGTCAGCTTTCCTCACTGTAGCATGCACCTGGGACCATCGCCTTACTAAGAAGGAAGGTTCATTTCGCCTCACAGTCCAGGCGTTTTCAGTCCATGACTGACCCAGCTTGTGGTGAAGAAATCACCTTGACAAGATATCACCTTGACAAAAGGTCACCGTGACAAGAAGTCATGGCCAGGAAGCAAAATAGAAACCTAAGGGGACAGAGTCCTACTTCACACCCATGTCCTGGTGACCTAAAGAGCTCACCCACTTCTCAGAGCCTCTGTTACCTCCAGATGGAGCTGCCCTGGGGACCACGTGGGCCACTCTGGAGCACAGCCCTGCTCTCCATGTTGTTTATAACCGTGGCTATGGTTTGGAATGGAATGTTCCAGAAGGCCATGTGCTGAAGCTACTGGGAGGGAGAGCAACCTTCAGAGATCAGATCTTAGAAGGGGAAGCCAATGTGGCAGGCGTACCCTTATCTGTTGGCTTCTGACTCTTTCCATCCACACTCTCTCCCTGCTTCCTGGCTGCCCAGAGGTGAGCAGCCTCCTCTGCTGGGAGCTTCACTGCTCATCATGAAGTCTTGCCAGCCCTAATAGCAATGTGTCCAGCGGTGCACTGAGCCGCTAAAGCCTCCAGCTAGAGCCGTTCCTTTTTAGAGGTTTTCAGTCACTTTGTCACCACAGTAAAAACTGGCTTAACGAAGACACTGTCACTGGATCTGTGATGATCTCCCCATGCCAAAGCTCTCAGTCACATCCTCTGAGGCCTCCCTAATCAAGTCACACTCACAGGTTGCCAGGCTAAGGACATGAGGTGTGACTTAGGGTTCACCGCCACTTCAGATTGCAGCTTCATGAGGCAGTGAAGGCTCCTAGAAGGAGAAGTCAGGAGCTTGGGGTCTAGGTGAGCAGAGGTCTTGTTTTTTGTGGCAACCCTTTCTCTGTTTGGCGTCTCTCCCCTGAGTGTGTGTTGGCTATTTTCTCAAACCTCAAACAATAGCTGGGCAACTTTTAAAAACACCTTGAACAGGTCTTTTGCATATGTCAATCACCTCCCTCCTTCCTATCTACTGTCCTTCAGCAAGGACACACATGCCCACAGACTGACAGACGGTATACACACACACACACACACACACACGCTCACACACACACACGCTCATACACACACATGCCCACAGACTGACAGACGGTATACACACACACACACACACACATGCTCACACACACGCTCACACACACACATGCTCACAGATACTACACTTATATATACACACTCTCTCTTACACACACACAGACACTACACTCACACACACACAGACTCACAGGTACTATACTTTTATATACATACTCCCTGTCTTACACACACACACACAGACACTACACTCACACACACACACATACACACACTCCCTCCCATTATTCCATTCTTGATATTTTGTTTATTTTTGAGAAAGAGGGACTTAGAGAAATACATTAATTGTTTCTTGAGTCTCCATAAAAATTGTCAGCTGCCCAGCCAGGCATGCCCTTGGAAAGCAGAAGCAGGAGGTACACACCTGTAACACCTGCCCTTGGGAAGCAGAAGCAGGAGACTGAGAAGTTCAAGGCCATCCTGGCTTCTGTATTCATTACTTTTTCCTCCTTTCTTTCTCTCTGTGTGTAGTGTACATACATGTTCACATAGGTGTGTTCACATGTGCATGCAGGTATGTGTGTGTGGAGCTCAACAATTGTCTTCGTCAATTGCTCCTCACACTATTTTTTCAGACAGGGCCCGGGTCTCTAGGTGAACGTGGATCTCTCAGTTAGGCTCAGCTGTTGGGCTAATGAGTTCCAGGAACACAGACATCTCTTCCTCCCTGGCTCTGGGATTGCAGACTCGAGTGCCCTGCTGTGACTTGGGTGCTGTGGGATCTAACTCAGGTCCCCATGCCTGTGTAGTGACCACTTTACCCACAGAGCCCGGGTATGAGTTACTCTTCTCTTTGCTGTAACAAAGCATCCAATGAGAAGTAACTCAAGAGCCAGGGTTGATTTTGGCTCCCAGTTCCCGTTCATCTTGGCGGAGAAGTTATGGTCACAGGGGGGTGTGAAGCAGATGGCGACATTGGGCCACAGTCAGGAAGCACACCTCAGCATACCTCCCTTTTATTCATCCCAGGACCCAGCTCCCTCAACGCCGCCCCCTCCCCCATTCAGGATTCATCTCACCGCTTCGAGATGAACTTTTCTGAAATACTCTCATAGAGACACACTCAGAGCTGTGTTTCCATGGTGAATCTAAACCCAAGCAAACTGACAATGGATATTAACAGTGAAGTCTTGGCCTCCGGATCTGTAGAACTTCGGGGTGGGGGTGGGGGCGGGGGCGGGACTGGCTGAGGGTCTTCCGTTACCCAGCTCCCAGACCGGCTGGCTGCTGCTTCAGAATGTGGGCCCAGGAAGCCAGAGCTCCTGTCCTCTCGGGAGAAGCTGATCAAGCACAATTTTACGTGAACAATTTAATGCAGGAAGCTGATTAAAATTTTTTAACTGTTGTGTAGGGCGAGTAAAATATACTCAAGTCAGATTTCGCCTCAGGCTTTCTTTATGGACCCTCCATCCAACACGTTAGCATTCCAAGTTCCGGGCCAGCCTCCAGCTATGGCCTCACCTCCTCTCTGGTGCAAAGCACGCCCTCCCGTCCCCTCTCCTCCCCTCCCCCTCCTACCTTCCCATTCTGTTTTGTCATTTTTCTCCATTCTTGAGCTCCAGCCTCCTGTAGTAACAGTAGTAACCAAGAAGCAACCAAGAAGGAAATCTGGGGAAACTGAGGCTAAAACTGGGCTCAGCTTGCTTGCCTGGGAGGGCGGGCCTGTCCAGCAGGGCTGGGAGGGGGCAGTG